ATCATCATCATAATCTCTTCATCTTCATCACCTTCTATTCGGACTTTGCAGCATGAGCAACACCTCAAATGTTATCCGCATCAGGAAATTGCGTTTTACTTGTATTCCAAAGCGCAATTACAGGACTTGGCAAAGTGCCAAGAGCGCTGCACGCGACACGCGCGCACACGACGGATGTTAGCATGAACGGGAGTCTGCGCCGCAAAAGGCATTGGGCGGAGCATGGAGGAATTAGCGTGTTTCACGGTCCTGTATCTCCATGCGCATGTTAGGACGGGGAAACCGCTACGCTTCGACAGCTGGGGGCTGATAGTCACGCACACCCAAACTATGTGTGATCGTACCATGTGTCTTTAAGCTGCGAGACTTGGAGCAATCCTGGTTTCACCCCGAACCTGTCTTCTTGCCGCTCACATACGGAGCCAAGGAGCACTAAAGAACAATGTCCCCCCCCCAATCAGAAGTGAGAGTACGCATACAAGTACTGCGTTTGCCTAGACATATGACTGACTGTGCAGCGTGTTTCGTGTCTGTGGAGGACTTTGCAGGCAAGATATAAGTCATCACGACCCACCAGCCACCACGCGCTTTTGAATGGAGCACTTCATAGCTGCGACCTGTCCCATTAGCCTATGGATAAGAACGACCTCACAGCTGCAGATTATCTTTGAATTCATGACGGCCACAAAGTAGGGTGACACAGTACTTGACGACTTGACACATCTTCATCTCATGGATTCTCAGGAATTGTTAGTTTCTGAAGAAAACACACTAGACACCAAATGGAAAGGTTCACCACGATATCACGCTGTTTTCATGGGCGATAAAATATAGTGCGGCTCATGCAAGGGGGGGGGGGGCATTTTGCACTTTTGCTACTTCCAGTCGACGTGTCGAACAATCAAGTGTAGACCTGTGAGATTTTGTGTAGCCACGAAATGATACCAGCCATAATTTGTCAACGGTTACAAAACACCTGCACTCTCATAAAGCAATGAAGAAGCAATGCAAATCCCATTTATCATGACGGCTCGACGAGCTTGATCCAGCTTCACATGTGTTCACAGGTTTCACCAATGTGAAACTGGTGACCTGGAATTAATGAAGCAGCTAAAGGGAGAAGTGCCCCGCGCCCTAGTCTGAACCACGCCAAGGTGAGCACTTGGAACCCTCGGGAGATGGTTGTTTTGTTCGTCACACCTTGTGGTCCCCATTCCCAGCAACCTCGTTTATTTTGCTTTACGTCTCTTTCATTATGGATATTGAACGGATGCAACACCTAGTTGAGCCGATGGACTAAGGTGATTATTTTATGATCTCAAATATTTTCGATTCCTTCTACATCTGGCAAAGAATGTAAGAGACAGTGATTCAGCCCATGCTCATAACTGCGAGTGTATGCGTAGGACATCAGAGTCCGTAAGAATAGCTTCCGTAGACGTTTTGCCACCACTGATGGGATGTTTAGCTTGAACTTGTCAATACAAACTGTTAGGGTTGCACAAATTTCACATTCAAAGTCTTTTTCTGATTCAGAAGCGGTTGAAACTCATTTTTAATTCCTACTCGTTTTGAGGTGAATCCTGAAGCAGCGGAAGATGTTGAAAGGTCTCAAGAGGATACGGATGATGATATTGACGGGGACAAAATCAGTTCGGATATGAATTAGATGGCTTATTGTTTTCCAGGCGCATTGTTTGGATCAGTTGTACATAAAACTTATCTTCATATTTTTTTTCAACAAAATAATCAAAAACAAAGCAAATACATTGTTGAAATTTAATTAGAACTCTGAGCTTGACATTATCACACTTCCTTTGAAATGCAGATTGTATCTACTTGTGCTGAGGGAAAGACATTTGTGGCTTCAACTCTGTTTGGCTTTCGCTCCAGTGTTGAGTGATGGTCTTCCATTGTGTGTAGAACTGAACTCCCGCCTGAAAAATTTGGTAAATTTGATCGTTTTAACTTGGCCAACCTCATGGAGCTTACCTTTCCATAGAAATTCAAGTCGCCTCTGAACGAACCACGTGATCCAGTGAAAGAGAACATGGGTAGAGGTACAGGAATGGGTACGTTTATACCGATCTGGCCACAATCCACGTCGTTCGCGAACCTGTTTAGGTGATTCTGAGCATATCGTACTAGTAAACGCAAATCAAGAAGACATACTTCCTAGCTGTAGCGCCGTTCAAGGTGAAGATGGCGGTTCCGTTTCCGTAGGGGTTCTTGTTGATAATGTCGATGGCATCATTCAAGTTTTCTGCTTCCAAAACAACAGAACTGGTCCGAAGATCTCTTCCTGAAATCTTGTACGTATTTGGGGTCTACGACAGCTTTTGCAAAAGCATGCGCTTTCGTTAGAATTCGCACTTCTATGTGCTAACTTAGTCCGGAGGGGCCACGTGGCGGTGCGACTGTGTCTCTTCCCTTGCCTAAGGATCAGTCTTACCAGAGCGCAGACAACCAGACGCTACGGTGAGTCTTGCATACCGGGCATAGTCGCCGCGTGACCCCTCCGAACTGTTTTCAAAATTATTACGTGCGCAACATGTGTCAGATCCAACATAATCAACACAAAACAGATCAACTAATTTAAGAAAAACAAACAAGGCGAACATGAAAATAAGAAATACAGTAGAAAACACTCCAAAAAAAGTTCAACAGCGAATCTTAAGAGGTGAAGCTAACCAAAGAACTATCTTGAAGAATCCTGCCTTCTACCAATGGCTAGTAAAGGCGACAAAAAAGTGATTGAACTGTAGAAGGTTCTCGAACTATACCTTATAGCATGTCATATTGGGTTTCACTCCTGCGATAATTGATGGTCCAACGAAGTTGCCGTTTTCGAATCCAGGAACAGTGATGTTGCTTCCATCGAGCACCACATTTGCGCCTTCCTGTGAAATTTGACTGTGCTTAGCGCCACTCAGAAACCCCATGTAATTGGAAATCCGACCTTCTTCGCTCCTTGAATTATGTTGACAGCGCGGTCCTTGGCAGCCTTCGATATTAATGGGCCGAGATCCGTATCTGGTTTCCATCCTTAAAATCAAAACTTAAATCAGTGAAGACCTTGAGGCTGATTTGTTGTCAAGAACTTAAATCAGTGAAGACCTTGAGGCTGATTTGTTGTCATGATTTACCTGCATTCACATGGAGCTGCTTGGCCTTCTCGACGAGCTCAGGTAACCAAGAGCGAGCCTCTCCAACAAGGATCGCCGTTGAAAGCGCCATGCAGCGTTGTCCCGCAGCTCCAAATGCGGCTGCTGTCAACTGAAAAAGTGAATATACGGCTCAATAGAAACTTTCTTTAGCTACGCAGTTGTCTTATCTTCGGAGATTACCCATAACACTGATTGGGAACATAGCTTCTTTGGCACTCTCGCCACTTTGGCTTTTTTGATGCCGAACCTATCTGGCGCCATTTGACGCCAATCTGGGGTCACAACCTTATTCAGCAAATTCATTAGGAACTATTATTTGGTGGTAATTGAGGGTCTTTATCAAGAACACGATATCATTTCTAGGCGCCGGCGCAACCTGGAGCCTTGCTCAGGACGCGCCGGCGCCTAGAAATCCGAACCGGAAATCTGAACCGGAGGTGGGCAGCAGTGATTCCCTTCCAGGCTCAGCTTTAGTGGAATGCAGACGACAAAACGGGATTTCTGGTCAGAGCTGCACAAGACAAGATTAGGCCCGCTCTCTCGATTTCTGCGTTCCTCTGAGAACAGCGATAAGCTTCAGGGTAGAGGATCGGTCCGTCACACCTCTCCCATAGCGGTACTTTGTAAACTGATGTCGTATTCCTGATCGGGACCCACGGTTATCGCCATATGCAACTTTGTAGCCAACTTTGGTGAAGAAGTCCGTGGCAGCAAAAACCGAAGCCGCACCAGGTAAACCCACATACGGAACTTCAACTACAAGAAAAAAGAAATCTGCAGTTGGACTGGTTGTGAGAGACAAGAGAAAGTACCTGGTTAAGGTCTGGTTCCTTGTGGTTCTTGGCACCCATGTTAGACTGAACACGCTTCCCATTGCGAGATCCACGTTCAAAAATGTGTTTGCCCTGGAATCAATGAAGATGTGACAGATGCTTGAGAATCATTAAGAGATTTAATGCTGATCGAATCCGTCATCGTGAAGGCATCACTGAAGCCGTTCTGTCATCCGCGACCCAGCCGTATAAGTAAGAAGACTCACCGCATTATCACCTCCAACGAAGGAGATTGCTCGGATATCAGGATGATCACAGATAAAGTTCACGGCGTCGTGCTGACCATGGATAACGTTGACGCATCCATCAGGAACTCCAGCTTCCTGAACTCATGGTCAGAAATATAGCGAATTTGTGGGGATGCCCATGCGTAGTCTACTTACCTTAGCCAGCTCAACGAGCATCATGCATGCTCCGGGATCTTGTTCTGACGGCTTGACCAACATGGTGTTTCCGGTAGCAAGTGCTAGTGGGAACATCCACAATGGCACCATAACCGGGAAGTTGAATGGGCAAATACCAGCAGTGACTCCCAATGGATAGCGGTACGAGACAACGTCCATATCGCGTGATACTCTGAGAATACGATCTATTGAGGAGTTGCACGAGTTTCTGAGTGCAGGTATAAAAGGTGCTTACCCTGGCAGAGACTCTCCCATCATGAGTGATGGCACTGCGCAGGCATGCTCAACAATCTAAAAATTTACTTTTGAAATTGGACGTTGATTATCGCAATACCCCAAACAGTGTTTAGAGGAACCTGAAGACCTCTGCTAACGTCACCCTCGGCATCGGGCAACGTCTTTCCTTGTTCTTGCGTGATGTTTTCTGCAAGCTTCTTCAGGTCACGCTTGATAAGAGCTTGAAGATGGAACATGGTCTGCTGGCGCGTTAAAGGAGAGCTGAAGGGAAAGAAAACAGATGATAGGCAGAACTCACCCAGAATCCTATTAACTAAGCGAGAAACTAACGTATTTTTCCATGTGCTAAAGGCCTTCTTACACGAGGCGACGGCTGACTCCATCTCAGCCTGTGTACACTTTGGAACACGAGCGATGACCTCATTTGTAGCCTGAACATAAAATGATCAGCAAAATAAAGATTCTAGTCAAGTGCAACATAAGACCAAAGAGAGAAGCTAACGTTCCAATCGGCCCGCCACTTGGGATGTGCCACATCCCGCTAATTCGAATCGCAAAGCTCTTCTATGCGTTTTGCTCATAAACGGCTTGCGGAGACCAGGCATGGTGAGCTAGGATATTTTCCTCCAGGATAATTGTGTTACCGTT